GTTTCTTGCCACTTTTGAGAGCAGCGTGGGATAAGGTCCATAGGTAAAGGTAAAAGTATTCTCCATTGACAAGGTTGTCAAGTCGTGTCCGACCATAGGGGATGGCTCCGTTACTAAACCAAAGAGCCAGCCTTGTCAGAGACTACTCTGTAATCATGTGGCCATCATGATAGCACAGAACACCGTTTACCTTCCCACCAAAGTGGTACCTATTTATCTACTTGCATTTGCATGCTTTCGAACTGCTAGGTTGGCAGAAGCTAGGACTAGGGACAGGAGCTCACCCCATCATGCTATATAAACAATAAGCATGATAAACAAACAATAAACAAGCATGATAAATAAACAAGTGCTGCATGATACATAAACATAATAATAATAATAAAACATAATATGTGTTCTCGTAGGCTTTCATGGCCAGCATCCATAGTTTTTTGTGGGTTCTTTTGGGCTGTGTGGCCATGTTCTAGAAGGGTTTCTTTCTGACGTTATGTGTATGTATGTATAGATGTGTGTATGTGTATATGTATATATGCATGTATTGATGTGTGTGTGTGTGTATCTTCTGTGAAGAGGCCAGCCACAGATGCTGGCGAAATGTCAGAAAGAAACTCTTCTAGAACATGGCCACACACCCCGAAAAAACCCACAAAAACCTATAATATGTGTTCCTTTCCAGTGACCCTAGCAAGGGTGGGCTGGAAGCATGCCACTTGTGCGTCTATGAGTGAGAGAGAAAGAGCTTTTCCAAGATTATGGGGGGTTGCAGACTGCCAGAAATAGTGCAAATTGAGTCCACTTTAAGGGTTAGGGAATCATGGGAACTGTATTTTATTGTGGCACCAGAGCTCTCTGACAGAGAAGGCTCAGTGTCTCAGAAAAAAACAAACAATTCCCATGATTCCCTAGCACTAACCCTAACCCTAAAAGTGGACTCACTTTGCACTATTTCTGGCAGTCTGCAACCCCCCTATGTCCTCCTTTTCAACCTTCTGTCCAGGAAGAATTCCACAACGCCCTCCATTTTGAGCATGACTAAGAAGCATGGGTTTATAGTTCTATGAGGGTTTTTTGGAGCTTGGAAGGTCCTCCATTTTGCGGTGCTTCGCCCTCCTTGGCGGTGAGGGAGGACCTCTGGTCACCTGGCTTCCCTCCACAGAGCTTTTCTTTCCTTTCCTTTCCTTTTCCTTCCTTCCCTTCCCTCCCTTGCCCTCAAGGCCTCTCCGTCCAACCGCCTCCTCCTCCTCCTCCTCCCCCTCCCTCCTCCGCCTGGCCGAGTCCGACACCGCGGCGCCAGCCCCGTGACGTCACTCCCCCGCTGCCTCCCCTCCCTCCCGGCCGAGGCCGGCGGCGCCTCTCAGGCGGCTGCCATGGAAACCGGGGCTCGGCCCTGGGCTCAGGGAGAAGGAGGAGGCTAGGCCTCGCCTCTCGCTTGGCGGCCCAGGCCTTCCTTACCCGACGCACCTGCGCTGCTGCTGCTTCAGGGAGACGGCCCTGTGTGTCTGTGTGGAAAAAATATATATACTGTACACACTATAATCCCATTTTTATAAAAAATAGGGTTTTCTGAGGTCCAGAACACACTGCAGAAACAATCCACTTTGAGACTGCTTTAACTCCCTTGGCTCAATGCTAGGGAATTCTGGGAACTGTAGTTTTATGAGACATTTGCCCTTCTCTGTCAGAGAACTCTGGTGCCACAATAAACTACAGATCCCAGGATTCTCTAGTACTGAGGACAATTAAAGCCGTCTCAAACTAGATTATTTCTGCAGTCTGTTTTGGACTGTAGACTGCTGTGACTGTGCTGTGGAATTCTGGGAATTGTAGTTTGTTGGGGTGGCACCAGATTTTATTGTGTTTCTTCTCTCATGTTTAAAAGCAGAAATAAAACCTTTTTCCGCCTCTTATGAGCCTTCAAATCGTTACTGACTCATGGGAACCCTATCTAGGGCTGAGAGAGTGTGACTCCCCCAAGATCACCCAGTGCGTTTCCATGGTCTCCAGAGTCATATCCCAACACTCAATTGTCATTTGGACTGCAACTGCACTGCAGAAATAATCCACTTTGAGACAGCTTCAACTGCCCTGGCTCAAAGCTATGGAATTCTGAGATTTGTAGTTCTGTGAGCTATTTAGCTTTCTCTGTCAGAGAGCCCTGGTGCCACAACAGACTACAAATCCCAGAGCGTTGAGCCAGGGCAGTTAAAGTGATGTCAAACTGGGTTAATTCTGCAATGCAGATGCAGCCTTGAACTCAGTGGACTGACTCCTCGCATGGACATGTACACAGAATTGCACTGTCATGATAGGAAAGAGTCAAATGCTAGTATTTGCTAGTATTTCTTTTAAATTGTTGTAAAACAAAAAGCCTGCCCTCCCCTCCAGCCACAATATTCCTATTAACTACCTGGCTGTCCTGTCACAGCCAATGTGGTTTGAGTGTTGGGAGACCAGGGTTCGAATCACAGCTGGGCAATGTGAACCCACTGGGTGACCTTGGGCAAGTCACACTCTCTCAGCCTCAGGATGGCAATGGCAAACCCTCTCCGATGAATAGTTTTTTTTGTGGGTTTTTTTTTGGGCTGTGTGGTCATGTTCTAGAAGAGTTTCTTTCTGACGTTTCGCCAGCATCTGTGGCTAGCATCTTCAGAGCATCTTCTCCGATGAAACTTGCCAAGAAAATGCCACGATAGGATCGCCTTAAGTCAAAAACGACTTGAAGGCACACAACAACTAAAGTCTTGTCCCATCAAGAGAACTCCAATAAAGTAATGGAAGCGAGAAATTATCACAACCTACCAGCGCATTATGCCCTATCTGGCATTATACCTTATATCAGGGGTATGCAACCTTTCCCCTTTAAGGGCCAAGGGACTTCAGCTCCCAGAAGCCTCAGCCATGTTGGCCAATAGTCCCATGTTGGCCAATAGCTCCTGGGATTCTGGGAGCTGAAGTCCCTCGGCCCTTAAAGGGGAAAGGTTGCATACCCCTGCCTTATATTTCTTAAGAGCCATTCCAGTGCAGATCTACTCAAAAACCAGTCCAGACATACTTATTCCAGAGAAAATAAAAGACAGGATTGGAGACTGACACCTATGTGGACACTCAATCTCGCAAGGTGCCAAGAGGACTAACTAATCCCAATGAATTTCAACTGCTCCTGTTCCCCTCCTTTCTTCTTCTACTCTACATTCTTCTTCTCTTCCTATATAAAAAAATGAAATAAATAATACCCAATTGCCAAATCTGTACAAGTTTGAGAAAGTATGGAAAAGGAGGAGGAGGAGGAGGAGGAAAGAAGCAGAGGGGAGCGAGAAGGAAGAATGCAAAACATTGTGAACCGCTTGTTGGTTTGAATGTGTGTGTGTATATGTGGTGTATTCATGTATATACTGTATATGTGTATATATGCATGTGTATTTATGTATATATGTGTGTATATACATACACATGTATAAATATATATATGCGCACTCATGTATATATATACATGTATATGCATACGTATACATATACGTGTGTGTATATACCGTATTTTCTGGCGTATAAGATGACCCGCGTATAAGACAAACCCCCATTTTTCCAGTCAGAATATAGTGTTTCAGCACCCCCATCCTCCTTATCCTTATACCTGGCGTATAAGACGACCCCCCCACTTTAACCACAGATTTTGCAGGTTAAAAAGTAGTCTTATACGCAGGAAAATAAGGTATGTATGTGTGTAGATATATATATATATGTGTGTGTGTGTGTATGTATAGATTTGTGTATATATGTATATGAATAAATGCATGTATATGTGTATGTATAGATGTTTTTGTGTGTATATTGTGTGTACGTGTATATGTATATATATATGTACATATGTATATATGTGTGTATATATATGTGTGTAGATGAGTATGTATAGATGTATGTATGTGTATATGTATATATGCATGTACATGTGTATGTATAGATGTATTTGTGTGTATATTATGTGTATATATGTGTGTGTATATA